GGAACAGATCAGTCCAGTGTAGGCTTTCGAGCAAAAGCCACTCTTGTTGACTCTCTTAAATTTAAAGCTGAACACCTCAGATTCGACGCATTAAAAAATGTAACTAGACATTTTTCAAAACATTTAGCTTCATTCATCTATTGCGTTTCTGAACAAACTAAAAATTCAGTTTATTTTTAAACAAATTAATTTCGATCCCAATTTTTCAATAAACAACCTGATTTCAACGAACAAATATTTGAGCAATTGTGCCATTACATGAATTGCCCCTTCAAACAGTGCTGATCTATAAATATTACGTGTTAAGTGCAACAAATCAAACCTTTAATCAGTAGGAAAAACGTTGGGACGCCGCCAGCCAAGCCAATTGAATCTATTTTCTCTCGAACGATAATAAACGGTCATATTCCCCAACTCGAGCCGGGATAAACTCAAATAAATAACTCTATCATGGCAATTTATTTTAAACAGCAACTCGAAAGCGTTTTTCTTAATCGCTGATCGGATACCCGATCCGGAATCACATAATTCGAATTGTATAATAATGATTTTAACTAATTTTATGTGGCTACCTACCAAAGAATTTATTCGTTTTCAGCTGGTAGGACCGCCAGTATGGTGGTCAGACAAATTTAGGTGTCAGTGGGAAATTTATGGTGGCTAAAGTAACTCGAAGGAGGCATTTAATCGCTCACTTCGATCTGGCTTTACCAACATGCTCACAAATTAACTTAAACATGTGCTCCGGTTGTATTTCATTAATTTTTCACTGCGATTTCTACTGAGTTTTTGCTCCTCCAATCGCGCAGAGATAACACTAGACGCTCCATTTTCCAGTTGTTTTTCACCAAATGCAATTTCCAAAAAAATAAATCAAAACAACTGTTTCTTCCTTCATACACATTTAATGTTTTTGGTTTTTCATGTTAACATTGTTTATTTGCTCCACTATTTTGGTTTTTCTTGACCTTGCTCTTCAATTTCCTTGAGAATATTATTTTGGCTCTAATTAATTTGGTTTTTGGTTTTATTTTTTTCTTTTGGACGTCAAGTATCCTTGCTGCTAATTTTATCTTAAAATTAATCCCATTTTTTCATTCAATGCCATGTTTTCAACGAATTAGTTATTGTTTAATGAAAAAACATTCTAATTCAAAAGTGGTAAAATGAATTATAGAGCGATCATCTAAAAATTATATGAATTTAAGATTTTTTCATTCGCATCTTCTTTCCTTCAATCCCTTCGAGACACTAAAAGGCTTTAACCGACTTAAATTAGATATCTCAAAGTTGTTTTTGACCAAACGTATTTACTGAAAAATCAATTTTCCTTTTCATTTCCAATTCCTTTTCAATTTCATATAATTTTATTTTTTTAGGTTGGCATCCGTTCAACAATATGATTTTTCCGGTTTTTTACACTGTATTTTTGTTATTTGAATGATTTGGTGAAGAAACATTCTTATTTCAAAGTGGCGAAATAAATTGAGCAATAATCTAAAAATGGTTACTGTTAAATTTTGTTCACGTAATTTGTTTATTTTTAAACGATTATCCTCGGAAAAGTTAAATATTTACGCTATGATGTTGTTACGTTTCAAATGAGAATGTATGAAAATTGTTCTTGTTGCTTTCCTGACCAAACTCTTCGACTTCTTTTATTTGCTTTATTTATTTATTATTTTATTTTATTTTACTTTCATAACTGACTTTTATATACTAAAGTTAACGCAAATTACAAGTTTTTTAGGGATCTTTCATTTTTTTCGATTCCTTTGTGGATCTTCTGCACTTCTGCACTTCATAAAACAACATTTACCAAACATTGGACTAAAGAAAAAGAGTCCCAAATAATAAAATAGTTGACTGAATTTCTGGATAGTCAACAATGAAGTGCACAAATGAAAAATTAAAATTGAGAAACAAAAACTGGAAACATAATAATTCAGTAAAAATAGTTCTATGTTCTGTTTGGTTTCTTATGTTCTTTGCTGTGTCCCTCCAATTTAGAAAATTTCTGAATGTTGTTTATTTTGTTTTGCTTTTTTTGTACCTCATTCTTTCAATAGTTTCATATTTGTCAAGATTAAATTTGTGTTACTTTTCGCCCTTGATTCCTTTCTCATTTTCACATTATGATGCTCATATTCTGCAGATTTTTTCGTTTGTTGATGCCTCAGCTCTTTGTGGAATATTTCTTCTTTATAAAGCTATTCTATACGATATTACCTCTTTCAAGCAGCTTCACTTTTCGGCAATTTCTGCGTTTTGTTTCTTTGAGCTTCTTAATTGCATTCACCTGCAATATATTTGTTTATTGTTTTGTTACTTTTCTACTTCTTCAATAGTTTCGTATTTGATATTGAGACGACTGATTAGTGTTCTTAAAGTAATATTTCGGCCCGCTCTTTATTCTCTTCGAGTGTAAGATTTCCAATGCTCCACTCTTATAATCTGCAAATTTGTCTTATTTATTCGTCATTTTAGTGTAACGACTGTATCTTACATTCATTCAATCAAAATTTCTTTCCTTATTCTTATGTTGTTTATTTCGTTGCTTCACTATTCATTTAAGCTTAATGTAGTAAATACAAGAAAGCGTAAAATAACTTCTTTAATGGATAAAGTTAAGCAATTTAGAAATATAAGTAAATCTTTGGCCTCTTGGACAAAAAAATTGAAAAATTTCCATACTTCCGCCCATTCGCAAAATCACCTAGAAAAACAGTAGCCGCCAAGTGCACTGACTAAATGTGCACCTGAAACAGCTTGGAATATAAAAGCGCGATGTATAAAGTGAACGGGCTGGTAAAGATGCGACCAGACCAATTGATTGCAACGTAAGATAGATTTTAATAGCGTTTAATTTTCACAAATCTAGAACATTTTGCTCGCAACAAATTTATGTTAAGAAAGTTTAGCTTTCATTTTTTTCGTTCCATACAGCTGCAGAGTACGCCACTGTTGATTATTTAAATAAATGTAAGAATCTGCCGTTTCTAAAACGGGCTTGCCTCCTCATAAACCCATCGGGAGCCGGCGAAAAAATGCAGCTTAGTTCCGCACAAGTTCTATCACTTTTATCAACGGTATTTAGCTAATTACCGCAAAACTGAACACGCAAGGTGTATATATTTGCATGCATTTATTGCTGAAACTGGCAATTACTCAAGAGGCATTTGAGTGAGACCCAAATTGACAAAACCTCGTATACCCAAACCAGTACATGGAAACAGTGAAGAGGTCCGCGTTAAACGCTCCATACATACCAGGACATTATCGTAAACCATAACGGGAAGAAAAACGTTTCATTTCCATTTTGGGGCTATTGAAGAACACTAGGTGGTGCAACATAAACAAACTTTATCGTAAAAACGCGCCTTTTTAACGATGTTCAATCATCGAAGAATTAAAATTAAATTTAACGTGGTATTTTATGACAATCATTAAAGACTCCCGCTGCTCGGGCTCTATGAATGGCACCCCTCTGGTCCAGCCAGTACAAACGTTAATATTTCAATCCGGCAAATGAAAAGTATTTAAAAGCCAGTGGACTTGTTAGGCACTAGGTGAGAAATTTGTTGTCCTGCTCGAACCCCGCTGGTACTGTAGGCGTTTATTCGTATCCATCCGTCCCATGGACTGTACCATTCTTATGGTTAACCATCACGTTTGTTAAAACGCGTACGGTGCTGCTCAGCAAGCGGCATATAAGCACCATGACACTCTTCAGTTTATACTGTCATATAATCATAACTCTGGATTTTAATATGCAGGGCCTTTTTTTTGGGTCTCACTTTGATTAATACAAATAGGCGACATTTTTCCTTTCACCTGTCCAGTGCTGGTGATGGAGCTTTGGGATGCTGGGGACTTGTTGAGATGCTTGAAATTGATTTAAGAAAATCAACACAAAAAATGCATTATACTTTTTGTAGTCAAAGTAGTGCCGTGCCCTCCGGGCACGACACTGGTTGAGGAACAACAAACGAAAAATCAGTCAGTGTGGAAGGTTTTTTTGCCTAGAATACAGAATTGTGTCCGCAATGCTTAATTCTTGAAATTCTAAAGCAAAAGTTGAACTTTCCACTTTGCATGTGCGTTAATGTTTGCTAGAACTAGTTGGTTCGGGGTGGAGGTTGAACAATTTGCCCCAACTGGGGGAAGTTGCGGATTCTGATAAAATTTCCTGCCGTGATAGCGCTCCTTCTTCCGCTGCCCTTGGCAACTTTCCACGACGTTTTGTTCGGGAGTTAGAAATGTTTCAGTGCGCTCATGTTTTCCAAAATCAGTCAAGTTGGGGACTGAATTGAAAAATTCACCACCGCTTGGACAATTTGGGAATGAATACGAATTTTGCCAGCATAGCAGGGAAAATCATCTTTCCATGGCTGTTCGGGGCAGCTTTACGTTTCTACTGAAACATTTGCCACAACTTGCACAAATTTGCCAAAGTGGTAGAGCAAAACATTCTCTCCATTGCTGTTTTGTGCAGGCTTGCGTGGCGTATCCAGTGTCGGCCCGCAGGATTAAACATTCAGCAAAAAAATCCGATTGGAACTTGACAAGTTCTTTGTCCTCCAGATACACGGATTACGGACACTCGTTGAACAAATTGGAAAAATAATTAACCCCCCTTGCATGTTTAGGTGTTGAAGGATTCCCAAACCGTTCATTCAACGGGCGAATTGCCCGTGGGGGTTAAAACACATCATAATCGCCGGGGCTATAAATCACGAACAGGTTCGCAAAGAGTTGACGTGAAAACACAAACGAAAGAAACGCAATTTCCCATTCCAGCAGAAAGTATTTTCGTGTGCCACATGAATAAAAACTATTATGTGTGGCCGCGCTAAACGCAGGCCAGAAATAAATGTTAACGCCTCTGGGTCAAGCTAGATGTTGAGGGATTCGGTTTTGATCTTGTCTGGATTACGTGAAAAATTAACCCCCGCTGTGTAATGATGCAATTAAGATATACAAAGTATTAAGCTGATTACCTGTCCATTTTTATCCATTTCGTTATTGGTCAGCTTGACTTTTTCGAATGACACAACTTGCTTGCGTAATTGCTCCCCCGAGAAGGGAGTGTCGGGGTGGGCGTATATTCGAGAGGGAGCAGGAGGATCCGCTTTTCCTGCCACAAGCCACGATGATCGATGATATGCGTATCGATATCTCTTGTTATCTACAGGAGTTATATCTAGGAGTACTGCGTATTTAGCTTCTGGTCGAAGTCCGATGAAGGATACTCGTACAGTGGGAAACATTCGGCTAAAAAAAAACAGAAAAATTTAGTAATATAATGCAAGTGGTAAGAATCAGCTTGTGTAAATCAGGCATGGTTTTAGCCTCAACTTGAAGAGAGCCTGCTAAATTAACCGATAGCCCCATTTCAGCCGCGTTTGGCAGATTTGGAGAATAAAGTTTCTTTTGTAAGGCGACAAAATTTGAACTTGCCGGATGCAACAGTTTCGGCGAGTTGTTGTTTCCAAGTTGCTCAGCAATTGATTGTCGGTTTTGGGCTCGACTTGAAGAGGTTTAAGGGTTTATAAAAACTCCATCAAAGCTCAAATTTGTTTGAAATTTTGTCAAGAGAGTTTCTAAACACCTTTTAAAATAGGATACAAATTTAAGGCCGTTAGATGCTACACTTCCGCCAGACTGGCAGTTTTATATTCGTCAGTAAATTACGCACATTTTGTTTTTTTCGCCGTAGTTTAAAGAATTTCTGAGAACTCTATAAAAACTCGAATTTGACTAAAATTCTGTGAACATCGTTTCCAAAAACGTGTTATCATCGAAGATCGTTTTCCGTTTGAAAATCGTCAAGAAGACTAAAATGTTGGATTGTCAGCCCCAAATTCAAGATACTTTAATAACTCGATCAATTCTCGAATTTGAGCGAAACTTTTCCGTAGTTTTCACATACTCTTGAATGACGCGCCGTAAGTTGATGTTGTTAGATGCATTAGTTTAGGACTTTCAATTAATGGAAAGTTCGTCACCAAGTTTAAAAGGTCTGGTAAATACCAACTGGCAGAATTCTTCCGTAAGTTTCAGGTTTCCCGAAAACTACCATTTCCCGGATTTGAGTGAAACTCTTTCAGTATAGTTTTTAACGTCCGTTTATAGCGCACAATAATTTAATGTGGTTAGACGCAAAACATTTTCAAAGTTGCAATTAATTTAACGTTCGTCATCAACTTACGCAAATTTGGGCTTGAGGCTCAAACTTTCTAAGTTTCTGAAAAACATGTTTCTAATCACCTTTTACTGAAATTTTGTCAATAGGGATTTAAAAATTCATTTTTTAACTTAAAATAATTTATTATTACTACATGCATCAGTTTCCCAGTTTAAACTGTTTCCAATTTCATCAGTAAGTTTTGAAAATTTTTCTCGGTTCAGGCGCAATTTTAAGACTCTGAAAACTCTATCAATACTGGAATCTGACCGACATTCCAGCCCTGAAGTTTCTAAAGACTCTTTTAGAACGCGAAACAACTTGATGTTAGATGCAACGGTTTCAGAATTAAAATTATTTCAAAATTCGTCACCACTGTACGAAAATTCAGCATTTTAGTCCTACGATTTTCTGAAAAATCTGTTAATGCTAAGAGGGGAGTGAAATTATCTGGCGTTTTAAAGGTTCTTTTGTAAGTGGAACTGATAACAACTTCAAGTCGCAACCGGCTTTAGTTTCGCAGTAGTAATTACTTTAAAAGTTTGTCACCAACATAGCAATATTTAGACCTTTCAGCCCCAAGTTTGTGCGGTTCTGAAAAATCTATTTACACTTGCATTTGAGGGAAATTACACTGAAGATAATTATTTTGAAGGCTCTTTTGTTAAATGTGACAATTTGAAGCGGCTGGATGTTTCAGGTTCGGAGTGGCAATTTTTTGAAATTTCTTTACTAACTTACGCCGATTTAGGTATTTTACTTTCGAGTTCAGAAGAATTGGAAAAAATTCTCAATGCTGCAATTTCACTCAAATTCTGCCGATATGCACCCTAGAGCCCCTGGTATAACGTGTACAAATACTAAGTTCGCAGAAGCAATATTTTTGGAGTTGCAAATGTTTTTTAGTTTGACTGTAAGTTTCAAAGATTTTGCCATTTCAGCCTCAAATTGGACGGCTTATAGAATCTCAACTAAAGCCGGGAATCGAAGAAAACTTCCAGACACAGCAGAACAGCCCTGTTGTACCGTGCAAAATTTTGAAGTTTTTAGGTGGAAGATATTTGGAATCGCAATTAAAAAAAAATGCTTTTAACCAATCGCACATTTCAGCAAGTCGGATTGCCAACAAACTGGTCAAAATGAAATCGAATTTAAATTTTGTGAAAACCGAGTCAAAGAGCCCCTTACTACTATGTACAGTTGCAGTATTGCAAGCAGTAAATTTTAAAGTTTAGAAATTTTAAAGTCGAATCCCAGGAGGCAGCGAAGACAACCAGAACTGGTTATCCCCATAATGCGATTTTCGGTCTTACGAATCCAAATTCCCATCAAGTCAACACCTGTTTAACACCACTGAGAGTCACATAAAATTGATCGCGCTACATCACGGTGAACAAATTGTTTTACGATAATCTTGTCACTTTTGAGCAGCTGAGCTGAACCGACTTCTACAACCATAATCAACACCGGATATGCTGAGTGGTTCGATTGATCTTCATCGAGGGGATTATATTCTTCTTGCTACTATTTAACTTTCCAACGTTCATTAAAATGCCGACGTGCAATAATTAAGAGCAGCCTAGTAAGTGGATTGTTTGCACATATCTGCTTGTTGTGGATGGATTGTGTTTGCTTAACGGTTCGGTTAGGAAATTAGCCAATTTGGACTGATTATGTCTGGTTTTCAGCTAATTTTCGCCTATTAGCTAATTCTGACTAGCAGTGAATTAGTTGAGAATAAACGTTTTGAGTGAAGAGCAAATGCAATTAAAAATGGTCCAAATCCGGAAAATACAAAAATAATCCAACCCCAAACAATTCTTCTCCAACTAAATTAATGATTAACGATATTTTTTTTGCAAACTCTCCTTTAACCTGACGCAATCCATTATGAACAGATTTAAGCCGGTTCAGCTGCCTGACCCACCTGTCCTTTTGCCATGTAATTTTTATTCCTTTTTAGAACAAAATTTTTGAAAAAAAATCGTTAACAAGTTGTTGCTGGTATTATCAGCCCGCATTTGGTTCGCAATTTAACATATGTGTAATGTATTTATAATTATTACCTGCTTATGTATCTGGTTCAGGTTGCTTTATTTAATTTGAGGTGCACATCAGGCGTATATTAATCAATCTAAAATGCAATTTTACTGATGTTATTTATTATATTCATTATAAAACCAACTGATATTTTTTCGTTTTGTTTGACCAAGCCAGGCGACTTTAGAAGTTTAATTTCCACTGATTTTTTAAAAGTTATCAACTTATTGAAAAAAAATCGAACTATTTAATGCAAATGCATCTGAATTTGCATTTCGAGGTATTAACTGGCTTCGCACGTTTGTCAGCCAATTAAGCATGCTTTCATCTACCATTTTTATTCACTGATCAAGTGCAATTTGCCTGGCAGCCTGATGGCTATTTACATCTCATCCAGTGAACATTTCGTACCTGTTTTTCGCTTAATAAAGCGGCTTTCACTCAGAACAGCAAAATTATCAGTTGCGTTAATAGATGCGTAGTGATTTTTGTGCAGCTCCCGAAGAGATTGTTCGCAGAATGTAATTTAAATTGCCTTGACAGTAAATGAGTGAGGCATTTTCTTGTTCCTTTTTGGCAGAATTATCCGATTAACGTGCCCATATTTTATTCGGTATATTTTAACTCGGGTTTGAGCTGATACATAATTAACACTTCAGTTTCTCTGTCTTTTGGTATAAATCATGTTTCCTTCAATAAGCGGCTGAAGTTTGCCAAGAGCAGATGCCAGCGTCAAGGAGATTTTGTTGAAAACGTTTTAAAAAAATCTGGCAATTGCAAATCAAATACATAAAACAGAACGTGTGTCTTTCAACTGGTTTGGAATTCGATTAAATTAGCAAATGTTGATGTTGAAAATCAGTTTCATGTGTGTGATTCATGCAATTGATTGGTTTGATGGAGGAAAATTTTAAATAAATAAATAACAGTCTTCATGAATGCCTTGGATGTATGAGCTCTTCTGCACCAAAACCGAACACAATGACTGTTCTTCGCGCGATGACTAATTACCATTAAACTTGGTGCTTCTGGGGTGGTTAACAGCCTTATAATAAGCCAGTAAAAATGCATTAGTAGACCATGATCAAGCAGTTTTCGAAAAACGGCAGCACATATTATAGATTGCTAATCAGGAATACGCGACTTTCCCATTACGGGCGCCTCGGGCTCTTTATTCCTACTTCCGGCGAAACAAATTATAAAAACAACACACCGAAGTACAACGCTGTTAACTCGAATTCATTTACTGCCCATAATTAATAACTAAATGAAATTCGCTTAGAATATGTAAATGTTAAACAAACAAACTACACGGGGAAAACTGCTGCAGAAGCAACAGAAATTTTATATCAGCTTAGCAAGCAGTCTTGAAAAATATAGAACACATAGAGAGTGTTAAGCATTAGTGTTAATATTTTAATCACCCTGTATGACAAGGGGGTAAGAAAATGATGTTTTGAGTCTCGCAACTAAGAGAGCACAATTTTTTCATGAATGAAAAATCTGAAAAATAATCGTCCTGAACAGCCGAATATTGAATCAGAATTGCAATCCACTAACTGGTTTTTAAAGAATTTCGAAATTTTGTCCTAAAAAATAACCCGAAGTGCCCTGAACAAATTGCAGGAAAACGAGAAAAACTGATTCATAGATTTAAATTTTTTTTGCGATGCACCCATTTTTCACGTTAAAAATGGAGTAACTTGTGCCACTACTGCTGCTATTTTTTCATATGCGCCAGCAACTTTTGACTTTCAAAGAGTTGAAAGTGCTCCTGGAACTTTCTTAGCTTAAGTGAAGTTGAAGAATTTAAATAAATAAATGCTAGAAAGCGACACTTGAAGCTCTCTTTGGAGTCTGCCCAGGCGAATTCCGATTGCAGATTTGGCTTTTTGGGACAAAATCAGCATAAAATGAGCCCCATATCGATAGCTGGTCGGAATAAATATCGCCGTTCTAAGCGAAAAAAGTGAAGTTTTGTAAAAAGCACGCATAGAAAAATTGATTTAAAAATCGGTTTTTATCAATCCGAGGTTATCAACTAATA